GCGCTCTGGCCCCCGCCACCCGCACCCAGCGCAGCCATAAGGCCGCCTGCTAGCATTGGCTCTGCCACCCCACAAACCCCTCTTTGCACCCAGCTTCTTGCAACAGGGCCAGAAAATTGAGCTGGAACTAGAGAAGGTTTAGGAAAGAGTTTAAACCTCTTGTAATGGCTACAAATCCTCCCTCAGGGCCCCCCACTGGTGCTCACAGGGTGCTGGCGGGTGCCTCAGTAGCCACGTGCCGGCGCGGGTAAGACTGACTAAGCTGTTCTCATCGTTTAGAGCCACACGCCCCTGGCACGGACCATGTCGGCAGTGCTGCTGAAAGCCCCTTGCCAGCCACAGAGCCCAGGCGGGAGGAGAAGGCCGCCGACAGCAGCCCCGAGGAGGACCAAGATGGCGGCACCGCCAACACCTCCTTGCCCGGCACTGCTGAGGAGGGACATGGTGAGGGGGAGGAAGAGCCAGCGGGTGGCCTGAGAGGGGACCCGGGGCCAGGGGATGGCCAGCCAGAGGAGACCAACAAGGAGAAGGGCCAGGAGGGGCCTGACAAGGCACAGGGCTCAGGGAAGGACACGATGTTGGGTGCCCCTGAGGCAGCACATGATGAAGGGAACCACCAGCCTGGCCCACAAGATGGCTCCCATGCCCAGGAGGATGAGGAGCCTGGTGCCAAGAAAGTAGCCTCTGAGGAGCAAGGGCAGCCTGAGGAAGAGAAAATGAAAGAGCCAAGAGCAGTGTCTGCTCCCAAGGGGGGAAAGGAAGGGGGTGAGCAGAGCTCAGAGGAAGATGATGAGCAGGGGGAGTCTGAGGAAGATGAACATGCGGAGTCTGAGGAAGATGGAGGACAGGGAGAGTCTGATGAGGAGGGAGAGTCTAAGGAGGAGGAAGAGTCTGAGGAAGATGGTGCTGGGCCAGTGGAGCCAGAGGACAGAACTGAAGGGAGCAACAAGGAAGCAGCTGGAGCTTCTGGGAAAAATAGCCATGGCAAACCAGCAGCTGCTGGCAAAGGAGAAGCTGAGGATGGCCCTGCCAGCTGCCATCATCCATCCTGCAACAATACAGCAGAAGAACCCACAGCAGTGGCGGAAAACCCACCAGCAGCAAAAGACCCCCCTGCAGTGGTGGAAAACCCACCAGCAGCAGAAGACCCGCCGGCAGACAAGCCATCACTGGCAGAGACTGAAAGCCCGCCTGGCCACAGCGCCCACCCTGCTGCCAAGCCCCAGCACAGCCAGATAGGTTGGAATCTTTTCTTCTCGGTGTGCTGTAGCGGCCAGTGACCTACTATCAACCGCCGGCGGAGCTGAGCTTGGCACATTAAACCGCGCCTAGTGCATGGCCCTCTCCTAACGCTTGTGCTTCCCACGCCTGCCCCTAACTGCTGCACGGCTGGGCCGGCTGCGGGCACTGAGGGAGCAGGCAGAAGCTCACGGACACCTGCAATGCAGGTGCTCATTGCAGCGATACCAAAGCTGGCCGACATTTCCCTCGCTGCACTTTAAGCCCATGATTTCTCCTCTGGCCTGTGGATGTGGATAAGATTTTTAAAACCCAGGCCCCTTTCAGGACCTGCAGACCTCTTAAAGGCTCTTTATCCTCCACCCTCAGAGGCCTCCAGACCCCTGTCTCAGTGCAAGGGTAGGATACTGCCCAGGCTGGTGGGTCTCCTGTCCACCACTACCTTGTAGGGAAGATATAAAGAGCTAATTCAGACTGATGAGTTGCTGAAGCGCTGGCTCTGGCCATGTTCAGTCAGTGAAAGGCTAGCTAAGGAAAAGGGACACCCCACGCCATGATTTCCTAGAAACACTTGCGGACTTTGGCCCATGGGTTGGGCAGTAACCTTCAGATCCAACTGAGTCTTTTTTTCTGCTTTCATCTGTAACGTCCCAGCTCAAAAAGTTCTTGTTTGTTCCAAAAGAAAAACCCAGTTTGGTCTCGGTGGCTTTACTTGGCAAGTCAAAAGGTCTTCCTCAGCCTAACACTCAGTAGACACTCAACACAGTCCCAGGGCTCGGCAGTGCCTCATTTGGCCCAGTCATCCCTACCCCAGCCAGCCAGTACACGTCTGTCCCCAGACCTGTCCCCAAACTCCCACCAAAGCCCTAACAAGCTCCCAATATCAAAAAGCACTTGAAGCTGCACGAGGCTCTTGGTGTGCCTTGCTCCAGGGCAAGGACACTTCTGTCTCCCTGTCTTGGGAACACCCTGGTGCCCACCCCAGGCAGAGGCACCTGCCTCGTGCTCCCAGGGCCTGACAGAGAGCCATGGGGTCCCCAGGGTCACCCCAAGCCAGGGCCCCACACAGAGGTCCCCAGCTTGATATGGGGGCAGAGGTGGGAGAAGCAGGAGGGAACAATCCCAGTGGCAAAAGTTGGCAGCTGGGATGGACCAGGCTGGGAGTCTCTCAAAAGCCAGCCCCAGCCTGACACATCCTCACGTCTCTGGCTCAGTGCATAATTTTTTGGGGGAGCAGACAGAGAGGCAGAGCAGAGTGCACCCACAGTCAAGGCTCAGCCCTGGAGGAGCTGCAGCAGCTGAGGGAAGCACCAGGGCAGGCAGGGGCCCCGTGGGACAGCAGGTGCCACGCATGCTCCCACCCCATGCTACGCCCCAGCCCTGGAGCCCCTTCCAGGCACGTCCTTTGCATTCCCCATGAGCGGCTGGCCCTCGCTCCCCCCGGGATGCACAGCGTGCCTCCCTCATCAGCCCCTCCTTGGAGCCAAGCAGTTGTGCACGATGCTTCCCCGGCAGCCATGGCCCTGGCAGCCTCCAGGAGCCTTTGCAAAAGAGAAACCCTGCAGCATGCCAAAGGCAACAGTGGCTGCTGAGGCGCCCAGAGGGTCCCTGGGCTCGGGGTGTGTGTGCTCCCCTATGCCCTCTCCCTGGCAGTATCTTGTGTGAGCTCCCGTGTGGATCCCTCCTTCCAGCAGTAACGGCTCTCCTTGCCTCTTTCCTCCAGAAGAGGTTGAAGATGCCAGCGAGCCGACCAAGCGCGACCGGTCCCACTTGGAGAGCACCCTCAAGCTGAACGAGGACAAACCTGCCGATGATTTCTCAGGTGAGGGGGCCTGTGGGGCACTGAGCCATGTATGCCCTGCTCCAGGCTGTGTGATCCCTGCAGGACAGGCTCCTCACCATTCTGCTGCACCAAGAGCACGGATGAGGTTTGCCTTTCCTAGAGTGTTTTGGTTTTAACCTTACTTCTTGTAGGTCCAGCAACACCATATCTTTTACTGCTCTTGATTTAACAATATTTAGGAATTTTAAAGGCAGCCCCAAGGGTGTACAAGAATTAGGAAGGTAGAGAGGCTGGAAGATGCAGATGGTGAATTGGCCCAAGCCAGCCAGATCCCTGCCCAGAGAAACCTGGGTCAACTTGTAGTAAAGGGTTGGGATTTTTATTACAATTATTTATTGGGTTTTGTTATTATACGTCCTGCTTCTGCTGGCCCCATGGGCAGCCTGGACTGGAAAGAAAGTGATAAAAGCTTCTGTGGAAAAAGCTCCTTCTTTCTTCTAGCAAACAGCTTAAGGGCTGTGCCAGGGGTCCCTGGCACTGTGTTGGAGGGCTTTTTGGGATCACAGGTGTTGAGTGCTAAACAGCATTAACAAGAGATGCTCCTTCCATCAGCTGCTGGCACGTGCAAGGTTGGCAGCAGATGGGGACAGTGCCCAGCAGGAAACATTAGCAGGGAGGGGCATAAAAATGTGCAACTGGGATCAGTCTGACCAAGATTTCAATTGTGAGCCAAGTTCCTTGATCCATAGCTGAGTCACTCCCCAAGATCTGCAGGGAATGCCCAGCAGCTTACCTGGGAGTGACTGAACCAAGGTAATGGGGTTTGCCTTTCACCACTCTGGGTGCTTCTGCCCCTGCAGGAGTACTGCAGCGGCTGAGGAAGATCTACCACTCCTCCATCAAGCCCCTGGAGCAGTCCTACAGATACAACGAGCTGAGGCAGCATGAGATCACAGGTAATGCCATGGGCACCAGGGTCTCTGGCACCATCAGGTCATTGGGATGCAGAGGACAGCACAGAGAAGCAGATCATGGAAAGGCTTGGATAGTTTGTCTTCCTTCACAGCTTCCCAAGAAGGCCATGAGCATGTGTGGCTTAGAGGACATGC